AGCGTAGTTCGCACTGTACTTGTGCAAGTAGTAAGCAAGGCCGAGCCATTTACGCAAAACCTTTCGGTCCGAAGGAACCGGTCAGTCAACAATTGACCTTAAATAAACGAGATCATTTCATAGGACACGCTTCTTAATGAAGCTACCTAGGAAAGGAATTTCTTCAGCACCAAAAAAGGATTTTAAATGCATTTGCATACAGCTTGTTCGTGCGTACGCACTTGAGCACTGCTCGTAAGTGGTCAATGTAATTATCCACATCTGATCTGCCATGTTCCTCATGACTATGGACAAACATGTCATTATAATAGCTTTGTGCATATCCTCAGTGAGGTCGGAACAATTGCTTCACAAGACAATTGAATGAAGTCGGGGCATTAGACAGCCCTTGAGGCATTAAAGCCACTTCCAAAGCATGCCTCTTATAGCACTAATCGCTGTGAGCGGAAAATCTCTTGCTCGCATAATCAATTGGTAATACACATCGACCAAGTCGAATGCACTGCACAGTGTACAACCTACCATATTGTTCTAAAGAACATCCTTTCTTGATATAGGCTTGTGTGCCGGTATAGTGGCTGCTTTTACCTATTTTCAGCATGCACAATGCGCCACTTGCCATTTGGCTTCCTGACACAAAATGTCGCTGTGGATTGGAGACACTTGCTCACGCACCATTTTAGCTGCGTTCTTTTCGCGAATCTAATTGTCATTGACATCACACTGTTCCTTATGTAAAGGCCAATGTTGTTTTAAGCAGTGTTCAGCTTCTGAAAATAGGTCAATTTCATGACGTACATCTCGATCAGGAGGCAGAGTGGAAGGTGGATCGTGACACACCGCATCCTAACATTCCTAAACCAAAGGATAAATTGGTCTCTAGGATCTTGTTAGATCTATGATCCACTTCGAGAACTCATTGCCTCTTTTGCATCTTCCAAGACAGCCCCATCGAGAAGTCAAGATGAGTTCAACTCACTTTCGTATCTAAAGACCACCACTTTAGATAAGTCACCTGACTTCGAGGTCAGTCCAAACTCATCGACAGACATTATCTCTAATTCTGACAGAGAATCAGTGAGGTAGAGTCTCAAGACTCACTGAGCCATCAAAGTCACCAGTCACTCCATTGACGAGTGTAGATAGCTGCTCGCTAGTATTACTCATTAACGTAATAGACGCCTTACGTTGCATAACATCACTCTGGCGTCACTGTCGTCTCTGTGCTGAGACTGAATGTCAAAGAAGCCGGAACTTTCTCGTCCCAAGGCTGATTGCATCATCATCCTTAACTTGCGCTGTAAAAGAGACAGTGTCACTATTGAAACCCGAGACATTAATGTCCCCAAGATTGACATGACCGTCAACCTTAAGATGCTCATTACCAGAGCTGATATTATTACCGACAACCGGGACTATACACGCCAAAGGTAACGGAGTGCGTCACACCTAATTTGCCCAGTAGCAGGACCTATGTCATTGCCGACATCTGGGTCCACACTGTCCCCAAGGTAACGAACGAAGTAAACTTTAAATTGATCTATTTTCGATCCGACGTCATCAACGACATCTGACGATGAGTCACGCCCAGTGAGATCACCACCCAGTGGGTACTTACATGACACTCCACGCTCATCAAATGGGCGTTGCCCTTGATGACTTAGTATTTCGCCAACAATGTCTTAAATGACATTTAGTGTGTTGCAATCACAGCCAACATCACTCAGTGGGTACTTACGTGCCACTCCACGCTCACCAGATGTAATCGACCCATGATGAATTGAATCTAGTCCAGCAATTCATTCATCAATCAGTGATTTGTTATCACCATGATTATCACTCGACAGAGTACTTGCCGTCTCACGAACAGTCATTATTGATCTTGGCCCATAACTAATGCTTTTGACATATTCCAACTCAACTAGTTCAGCCATACCGATAGCAAACTGACTGTCTCAGTAAGTGGCTCGTGTCAATAGCCTTTTTGCCTCCTAGCAGAGGTGATCTCGTGACCCTACAAAGCTCCCTTAGGAGTAGTTCGCGTTGTGCCTAAAGTATTTGACCTCCAACCAATCCGTAGTTCATGACGATCTAGTTAAACCATACCAAGGATAACATCATAACTCTCATTCAATTTAAGAAATAAACAGCGTTCAATACTGTCATAGTCCGCAAGCTTCAAGCCTAAGTTTACAAGAACTTTAGGCACAGTGACTATTGATCTGTCGCCAAGAGAACAGTGATAGTCTCGTTCTTTTGCGCTTTCAGCGCCTCAGCATACTGCTGACTATTCGTCAGGGATAAAACGCTGGACGTAATCTTATGACGCCCCGGAGTCGATCAATATCGACCATGGCTTATCATAGCCTTTACTGTTGCTTTCGCAACTAACAAGCCTGGTTGTACGCATGCTTTGTTGCATTGTGCACAAAGTCACTTGGGGATACGTCCTGCTCTCCATCACCTCCCAGAGGTACAACAGAGCCTAAATCCTCCCCAGCAGGGCGCCCCGCGCCTACTGGGACTCGACTTTTTCTCGCGCCTTACCGACTCGTTGTTATCGACGGGAGGTCGGCTCGAATGAGCCTGTCTGATCCTTCTCAACAGACAATTGGGGCGAAGGTGTTTGATGCTTCCGCACGTAAAAAATCTACGGATGTTCGAACGCTGTTCGACAGCGTGTTGCTCAGCTTCTTCGTACTCTCAGCGAGACTAAGGTCCATGGTCTCTGCACTATCCATAATATGACCATTGCTCAATGAGCTCTATTGGAACCAATGAGTTCCGTAGCGGGCAGCCATATATCGGAACTCTGCATTCAACGCTATGTCCACTGAAACCTCAAACGTCAAGGGTTATGTACGATACACTTCTGTTCTGGCAACGCCAGTGCGAAGACCCTCCGGATAAATGGTTATTACACTCGTCTCAGGTAAAGTGTCCAGTTGCATAGCAGCAATTAGAGCTTGCAACTCTTGGACATAATCGACTAAGTCCTTTTTACCTTGTCGGGTTGATAGGAAGCGCGATCGCACGCGATACGCCTGATTAGGCGAAACAAACACCTGAGATAGCTGGTGTTTTAGCATGTTCCAGGTGGGAAAAGCCTCGTCTATCGAGATGCTAGAACTGAACGCCCACTCCCTGGCTTGGCCACCTAACTTTGATAGGGCCATGTCCACCTTCTGCTGCTCTGACCGCAGCAAGGCCGAACCAATGGCAACTCCATCTCTCGAACCCACAAAAGGACTTCCCCTCTTTCCCCTCGAAAGTCTTGACACTTACGACTAGAGGATGATTCCTTGACTGAGTGTCCGGTATTGGATCATACCGAGTGGGTACGGCAGAAGCCAAATGGTCATGGACCTGTTCGAACAACGTGGACTCAAAGTTCGAGAAGGCCTCGAGACGTGCACGAAGTGCGTCCGGGCATACCGACATTATAAGAGCCACTTGCTCTTATGCACGATCAACGCCGTGAGCTAGCATAAATCGAGAAGTATCGCTTTTTTGCTGCACTCTTGTAAAAGCCGACTCGTTCCCCTAACACGTGAAGCTGGTACATGACTATATAGTCTGCTTGTTTCAGCGCTCGACCCGAACTGCAAGTGCACAAGTGAAAGAGTAACGCATGAGGGAAGGCGGGATCGAACCCCCGACCGCTGGGTCTGGCTGGAATCCAGCGCTCTACCACTGAGCTATTCCCCCACTTCTATGCCTTTACAACGGTGAGCTTCTCAAGAGCGATCTGCTAGGCCTCTGAGAAATTCATGGCCGTCTCCATCCTCGCAGAGGATCCAGTCTGTGAAGACTCAGGTGAAGATTGACTACAAGTGCTACCAAGTGTAGCGGAGCTACTTAGCGCTCCTTAGCAGAGGAATTCTTCGAGTCTCTCAGTTATAGACAACTAACAACGACGTACAGTCCTTCAAGCGTAAAAACTTATCAATCCCGGTTCCAAAGGGATTATAATTCACGAAATCACACACTTATCATTCACTACTAGTTAAACAAGAGTAAGCGCCTTCACAAGGCTCACACCCTTACAACACACTATGCCTTGACTAGGCACTAGCGTCCAACGATTCAGGAGTAGTGAACTTTAAGTATTCTTTAACTGCGGTAAGAAAACCATAAAACCTTGTCTGACTTCTACACAACAGACTTTTACTCATTAAGCCCAATGGTGTAAAACACCTGCAGGACTGACTCTAATTAAGATCCTATGTCAGAAGTCTTATCCTTTATCCCTAACCAAAGATGTGCGGTATTACCGTACGTATACCAAGACTGTACCACTCAGATCCACCGATCTTTACTTGATGTAGACACACAACATAATCGGTTCAATAACCGCGTGTAACCCCGTTACGCTCGTTCTTCATTGAGTGTTGTTGCATAGCGTTTTGCAACTTGTTTCAGTTCTCGGAATTGGATTACTTTTGTCAAAGTGCGAGCTCCAGAGCTTGCTCCCCTATCGAATTTACGTATATTTTAATTCTAGTTTATTGCCAGTCTCTCTTTTAGCGGGACCCTCTTTCGCTGTAGCTGAAGGGGCCAAAAAGGTGACTTAAGCATGTCATTCATTCGGCCTAAGTTGTGCATGCGCTTTTTTACCGCCCGTTCGATCAACCTTAACGACCAGCACCTCGGTCAGAGGCGTTCCCGTGCCACGCGTGGTCGCTCCGGCGACCTCTGGGTATTAGCTGCACACCGCCGTATCGTACCCTTTTTAGCTACACTGCATCATTCTATCTCTACACGCATAGCGTACTAGTGTAGACAGGTTCGAAATCCCTGGACTATGTCAATACACGTAACTCGTTTTAATGAGCTTGGAATGCACCTTCATCCATGCGTTGGGGACGGCGTTCACCGGTACATCGCCCATTCCACTTGCTTTCCGAGCCTGTTGCGACTTCGTGCTCAGCTCGTCGAATCACCTTGTCGACGTACGACTCGTGCGTTTGACCGTTTTACATATCAGACCCCGCAACCACATGACTCGCGCCGCGTCGGTTAGTTCGTCAGTTAGCAGCTTTATCTGCTCCAAGAGCGCAATAGAGAGTGCGCCGCAGCGTCCGTGTCGCTACTCGCGCAAACAAAGCCAGGACGAGCTCCTTCGTGGCGGAACATTTCTGGACCTTCAGCAGTCGCTTCCCCTTTCACGTAGCAAGAAACGCCTGGACAATGTATCGACTCAGACGGGGCATCATCAAGTCTCCACTTGCACGTAGCTCGCTCGTTTGCGGCACGCCAGTCGACGTAAAAAAGGCGCAATAACTCACGTGACTTGGTTTCAGTAGCCGTGCCGTTACTTCAGGACCACCCGGCCCGTCTCTGCCCACCTGCACTTCACCGTCTGCTACACACGCCAAAGTCGTCGCTGCCTCATTCTCTCTTTTGCCTCGCTCGAGTCAGTTCAAAAGACGGACGCGATCACTCGCTTCCTCTCGTGTGCGAACAGCTCCATCGTCGTCCACTCGCGAGTACCTTTCTCCCTTTCCCCCACCATGCACGTGCGACTCGTAGCGCTGTTGGCAGCTGCAGCTCTCACGTCCACGTCAATAGCCGTGACGACGTGTCCCGTGTCCGTCCAATCGCGGACGACGTCGACGTTGACGGACCCAATCACTGAAGTCGTCGTCTCGATCTCCAGTGGGAGCGGAAGCAGCAGCGTTGACGGTTCGTCGTCGTCACTTGGTTCGGGCTCGGGCTCTGGTATCGTAGATGCAGGCGGCAGTCAAGATGATCAGACGGCTGAGGTCGGGAGCAGTTCCGGCTCGTTTGGGGCGCCGCCTACGAACAGCTCGAGTGTGGACCAAGCGGGATCAAACAACACGACGGCACCAACGACGACCACGGACAATAGCAGCGGCAATGGCACTGACAAGACACAAGCTGACGAAGGGGGTACGGGGGGTGCGACAACTCCTTCCGGCAGTGGAAACCCCACGTCGCCGTCTACTACGACGAGTCTAACGACGACGACGGACCCCCCGTCATCACCATCAACGGAGGCACCGCCGTTGTCGACAGGTGACGCTCCGTCGACGACTGTGGCCGTTACGGTCGCGCCGGTCACGAGCACGGACAGTGCATCGTCTGTTGGAACGAGTACGACGACGGGGCCGACTCCTGAGGTGCCGGAGGCTGTGAGTGCAGCAGCAGATACGACGACGACGACACCTTCGGGGTCAAACACAGGGGCCGGATTGTCGCTGTCTCTTGGTATACGGAAGCTCCAGACGACGACGACGACAGCAACAACGACAGTAGATCCAGCTCTAGGGACGAGTGGGCTGGCGGGTTCGATGACTGGTGCCACAAGCACGACGGACAAAACAAATGTGACGACCACACCAGGCGCACCGACAAATGGTCCACCTGTGACTGCTGGGACGGCACCAACGACAGGCTCGAGCTCGACAAATACTTCGGTGGGCTCCAACTTGTCTTCAGGTTCGGACACGCTGTTATGTGACAGCACGTTCTACTCCAAGTGGGACGCCATGGGGCTGAAATGTGGAGGCGCAGGCATTGACGTCGCGTCGGCTGTTGCCGCGTCGAGCTGCGTGATTTACAGTGGCAGGGCAGGCAGCACCTCGGGCTCCTCGTGTGTTTCGATTTGCTCCTTCCCGGCGTGCACTGACGACGCGTGGGTGTACGGCGCCAACAACGGCATCTCGTCGTCGGTCTATGATGGGTTGGGTGTCGAGGCGTTCCTCCCGGGTGAGGTGGTGGCGGCGCTAGAGGAGCGCTCGCCAACTGTGTCGACGTTCCTGTCGGATTCCACCATATCGAACTCGGAGCAGTGCTCGTATTCATCAGAGAATTCGTTCTCGTCGTGCTCATGCTCCGCCATGCTGGTTGATCTCTCGAGCTCAGGAAGCGTTGCTGAAGGCGCGAGGAAGGAGCTGCGCCAGCAAAATGAGGCGAACGGAGTCATTACGAAAGACATAACTAGTACTACCGGCACCGTCGTGGCAGCCACGTCGAAAAGTGTGGCTGGCGTCACGGTTGCAGTCACGGGCATTGCTGCTATCGCTAGTGCAGCCGTTGGCGGTGTCAGCTCTGCCGGTGCTTCGTTCGCGGCGGCTGGTTCGACCATGGCCATTACGACGGTTGAGATCTGCCAGTTTGGCGTTCTTGTCAATCAGCTTCAGCTTGACGGCAAGTCGGCGGCGTTAGCGCAGTTTGGCAAGGCCATGGCCCCGGCTGCGTTCACGTTCTTGCCGTTTGGGACGCTGGACGAACCGGATGTAAACAGTGGCAAGTCGAGCAGCAGCACCTTGTCTGATGCTGTTGCCAACCGACGGCTGTCTAGCTCTAGCTCAAGTGGAAGCGACAGTTCCAAAGTCGCGAGTCAGCTCACTGGTATAGAGAAATACGCCCGTCAGCTGGACGTCAACGAAGACATGCTGTTTGTCGTGACGCTTGCGGGTGTGTTCTGCGTGATGGCCAGCGTAGTGGGTTTGTTCGGTATCGGCTACTTGCTCGCTGGTTTCGTCATGCCCCGCGAAACGTACTTGACTGCGTTTTTTGACAAGATGATTGGTCTTGAGGTTCTCGTGGCCATCCTGGCGCAGTACACAATCGGTGTGACAGCCACCTTTCAGATCTATTACTCGACGAAATATGAGAGCATTACGGACCCCAAGTGTCTGCTAGCGATTGCTGCCATCATATTCCTGGCTGCTGGCATTCTCGTGTACGGCTACGTCGTCATCAAGAAACATGAGGCTGAAATTGTGGATGTCGGGACGGTACAGCATTTGAAGAAGACTGTCAACATGCGTTATGGTCCTCTGTACGAGGAGTACAAGTTCAAGAACCGTTACTTCTTCGCCGCGAAGATGATGCTCGCCTTGACGACGGGTGTGATTACCGGCTGTGCAAACATGTCGGGCAAGATACAGGTAGCGCTCATTCTCGCGTTGAACGTGGTGTTCTTTTTCTACTTGGAGATTCAGTCGCCGCACCACTCGAAGTTCGTCCAGACTACCACGAGTTTCGTGTCCATCATGAAAATTGCCGTGCTCGTGCTGACGTTCTTTTTGGTGACCGCGGCAACGAGCGATGGCTTCCCGACCAGTCTGCAGAACGGCATTTCAGTCGCCATTGTGGGTCTCAACCTCTTTGTGCTGGCTCTGCTCATGATCCGGTCACTGTACGCATTTTGGCAGAAGCTCAAGCTGCAACGTGACGCCGCGTACGACCAAGAAGAGCAGACTGCGCAGGACTACTTTAAAGACGAGACGCCCGTTAGAACCAAGGATCACGCTCCCAGCAACGCTCAAGCCCCTGCTGGCCAGCCAGGTTCCCAGTCTCAGTTCGCGAACTTGAACAACAACGGCAGTAGCAGTCCATACGTCCAGGGTCACGCCACTGTAGACCATGCCAGCGCAGACGAGATCCGCTTACGCTCGGCCACGCACGAGAATGACGACCGGCATCAAACGTACGACGCAGGCCGGCGCTCGGCTGCCAACCACTACATTAAGGAAGACCAGAAGCCTCACGGCCACGTTCGGAACGACGTGGTGGAGCTGTAGACGTTTTTATCCGTTGGTGCTGCATGGAAAGCCTTGGTGTCGTCGACGAGAGGAATTGTATCAGCAGGTAGATTGGAATGCCACGACGTGATTGATGTGAGCTTGTAATCAAAAGCCTGCGTAGTTAGCAGTTTGATTCCTTCAGAATGTACTTTCGCTCTTCATTGTCCAAAAGAGTTGATCAATCAGTCAGTTGACGGATCGGTTCCCATCTCAAGCTTTTCTGAGCGAGAACAAAGAAGCTCAACGGTATGACAGGAGCGTCTCTACTGACACAAGGCCTCGAGTCCCTATTGCAACACAAGTCACCGGCGGCAATCCACGAGAAGCTAAGGGAGTTATATAGACTCGATGACGCGCTTCAGGCGGCACATCTTCAAGCCAAACGTGACCACGACCTCGGCGAGGACGTGGTCGCCAAGTACAAAGCCTTTCTGGCTTGTCGCGAGCGCCTGATCAGTGAGTTAAAGGAGCAACAGATTCCAATGCCATGGCAGCTTCGGACGACCATTAACGATCTAGAGCTGACGGTATGAACAACGTCGAAAGACAAAGTGCTGCAAGCTTGACAGTGGTGCTTCAGTGCTAACCATCCGTCTCTGCTCGGTGCAATCATCGATTGATGCTATTGATACACAGCTGAAGCAGCGGCAAAAAAACGTCTTGCTCTCGACCGAGAATCAAGACCCCGCTCAATCTCCCCAATCGATGCAAGTGGCCGTGGCGTTTATTGGACCGACACTCATTGCACTAGCTATTGCTGCGTTGTGGTACCATGTTAACACCTAACAACCAGGTTCACACCGAGGAGCAAACTGCCTTGAAGCCTCGTCTTCGCACTTTGCATTTGTATCCATTCAATGGGATCGATTCTGCTGTCCTCCACTTATCGGTCCGTCCGTTTCTTGTCGTCATCGACGAACAGTCTAGCAATGAAGGCGACAGCCTCATCCGTTCACCATCTCGTGCACGACTACCAACAAGCAGGTATTGGCGACTTGACTTCACTAGGGCCGCTCCACCGAGGAGCTCAAGTGTTGGTGGTCGGAGATGGCAACTTTTCCTACTCGCGTGCATTGCTGCGTGCCCAGAGCACACGTGCTGGAGCTTCTGAGATTATCGTGACGGCCACGTCGCTGGATACTGAACGTCAATTGCTCGAGATGTATCCAAACTCACGCCGTCTTCTAGCAGAGTTGCGAGACAGAGGTGTCCAGGTTCGACATGGTGTGGACGCTACAAAGCTGCCGAGTTATTTCACCCAGAACAGTGCTGACCCGGTCACGTTCGACCGGATCGTGTTCAACTTTCCACATTACGCAGGACAAGGACGTGTGGGTGACAAGACCGTACGCAACAAGATCCATCGACATCGACAACTTCTTGTCGACTTCTTTGCTAGTGCAAGTCAAGTGCTGGCAAGAGACGGACAGATTTGGGTCACGCTCTGTGCTGGACAAGGAGGAACAAAGCTGGAGCGCAGCCCTCGAGCAGCAGGAGATACGTGGCGCATTGTCCACTGTGCTGCCGCAGCAAAGTTGGTGCTGCAGGACGCGCATTTCAGTCCCGTGGACGCATTAACAGACTTGGGATACTACAGTGTCGGGTATCAAGCGCGAGAAAAGGCCTTCTGGACAAACGACAGCATCACGCACGTGTTCTGCCACGAAGGTCCTGGTCGCAAGGCGTGTTTTCCCATCGAGTGGACTCGTGACGTCAGCTTCTGGATCACGGACGAGTTGAGCTTTTCCGAAGCCCTTTTGCAGGACATTGTGCGGGACCACTTTGCTCCCGAGACAATGACCGTCGCAATGTCGCTGCAAGACGAGTATCGATGCAAACAAAGCTGTCAAAAGGCCGTGACGTATCGCCTCGCCATTTCGTCGTCCAAGCTTGCACTCACTCGTGCTCACGTCAATGTCTTGACAGAGAAAGCGCTTACAGCCATCGAGAGCTCGTGCTTCGGTGCTTCTCGGCGCACGACAGTAGTGTCGGACGTGGAATAGGACGGCTCTGGACCAGTCATTTCTGGTTTGTATCAAAATCATTTTTTTCTCTCGTTCATCTTCTACTGCAACATGGACACGCCAAGATAGAGCAACACATTGGCTGCATTACTCAACAAGTGCAGCCCGCAGTGCCAAGCTGAAGACACGTTCTGATCACGCGCCTTGCGAGCTTGTAGGTAGCAGTAGCCTGAATTGGCCACCACGAGCACGTACAGAACCTGCACGAGTGGCTTATGACACACTACGGCGCAATAGTAGACGTGGTAGGTAGCTGCACCAATGACCGACGCCATGTCGGCGGAACGGCGCCACCCTGTCACAGGGTCGCGCCAGTAATTGAGCGAAGTCAGTAGCACGATGAACGCGACGAATGCGCAGCCCCAGAGCCCGGTGCATAAGGCTCCAATCACGGAGAAACACGTGACGAACGACGATCGAAAGAGACGCGACGAGTAGGGCGGCAGTAAAACAGGATCCGATGTTGTCCGCCTGGGGGTACCATAATGCTTCGCCATGTTGCGATGATATGGCGAAAGAAGGGTGATGGGTCCGTCTTGTCGAAGAAGGTCTTGTTGACGAATGAATCGCATGTCTGGTGATGAAATAATGTAAAGTATGTAATCAGAGGCGATTATTAGCTATGATGGTTTGGAGAGCACGATGGAGTTTATCGAGTGGAGGGATGAAAATCCGACAACACTCGAGCAACAGTCAGGATCGCGATTAAGTGATGTTGAAAACCCAGGCGGAAGGTGGGTTTGCATATGCTGCCATCCCCGTCAAGCTGCACTGATTAAATATGGACTCATAGCCACAATATAGCAGAATCGATCTCGCTCGATTTCAATAACACGCTGATATGACACTTTCTGCGCGTGGGTCGGTCAGCATCACTTTATTACTTTCTCGACTTGCATTCTCGAACATAGAAAAGGGTGAGCCGGAAATAAAGCCAATAGGACGGGAGTCGGTTCTAGAAAACAGCCACCTCAAGTGTATGACGTTTGAATCGGACTTGTTCGAGCGCTACGTTCGACAACATTCGATCAAAGCACTTCAACATTACCATGATCGGTCTGCCTCTGCCTGCACGCCAAGAGAGCGGCGACTCACGTCCCCTTTCATTTCCTAATTTGCATCCAACAACACGATCGACCAGTAGCAACAACCCACACACGACAAAGTCACGCAACCATGTTGAGCTCGTGATATCTCGTGCGGCCGCGCTTCTGGTACCCCATGTCGTCACTCGAGCAGTCCATGATGGAGCTCGAACATATGAGCGACTGTATGATGCGACCACGGTTCCCGTTTGGGGTGCGTCGAGAGATGCTCGCCACTCCAACTCCAAAGCACGTCATGTACACCGGGAAGTCGACGGACGATGACGACTTCTTCGTCGACCTGTCTGTGGTGGCATACAAGTAAAATGTCGACGGCATTCCAACCGGTGCAAAATGCACCGCAACAGGATCAACAAGTGACCAGCACCAAGACATAGAAGGATGACGACTCGATGAGCGACTCGTTCTCGTCTTACTCGTTCAGCAACTCGTCTGTTGTGGACGAGAAGGGTCGACGAGTGGCAATGACGCGTCGCCGCTACGAAGACTCCACTGGTCATCTCAAAGCGGTGCATGAACGAGAGATCGACGGAAAGAAAATACGCATGACCTGGCGACAGCAAGGCAAGGAAGAGAATGGACAGCACGAGTCCATTTGCTCGAGCGGTAGTCCGGAGGAGTTCGAAGCACTGTGGCAGCAGACGCCGTTTGGTGCGGCACAGAAGAAGTCAGCGAAAGGCCAGCTGCAGGCTGAGTCGGACGTCGGTCAAGAGGCGATATCGTTGGCGACATCTGCTCCAATGGAGAACACTACTGTCCATGGAAAGTCAATGGAGATGACATCGACAGAGAACTGTGCGGAGGTAGAGACACAAAAGAAGCACAACGAGCAGCGTCCGATGGCATGACTGAGTAATGGAATGGAAGTTTGTTCTTGTGAAGAAGAAGCCTTCGGGTTGCAATGCTGTCGAATCGTTAGTAGCTCGTGTGCTTCATGAGTCCATAGCGTATGCAAGTGCGACGCAATCAAGTCGACCGTACATTACAATACACGACAAGAGCAATGTTCAGCATTTGCCGTCATCAATGAAGAAATGAATCATCGAAGAACTCGTCATTTGCTGCTAACCTCTAGTTGTTTCGGCTTTTGTGGAATCGCGTGATACAGGCAGTATGTCGACAACTTCGTTCGTGCAACGTGAAGCCGGTGGATCCTGAAGTCTTACTTACGACAACCTGTACTCGGTCTACCTTCTAATATGTTTGCTCCACTTAATGAGCGCTTCATACATAACGATGTGCTTGATCCCGCCAGTGTTTTTCGACAACAAAGCAAGTGTGTGTTTTACAACAAGCGTCCTTACGACGATTCAGTTATTACGATTTAGAAAGCGATGAGCGGCTTTTATGATTCAGCTCGCGATCGTTCTTGCGTAAATGCGGGAAAGCACCTTTGTTGCTCAACGTGCCATTACATGTCCGCTGCAGATTCGACTCGGAACGTCAATGGGCTCGACAGCCCACAGACGGTATACAGCGTGTCCTAGATTTAGTTACACCTGAACTAGTCATCGAACAGGCTGCAGTACTTTGGCTGCACAACTTTGATTCGCAGCGTATTCGACGCCAGTCAATCCCACGGCCTAACTATCCACCACTTGCTATCGATCCATGCGCAGAGCGACAGCGCCCTCGTCGCCGCTTCGCCGCAATGGCGCTCGGATTCGCAAGGCTCTAGAACATTGCCACCTTGCCGAGCACGTGCAGCAGCTCATGCACCACTTGCCCCCTCTCCGCGTGCTTGGACTCGATGTCAACACCAACAGCACCGGGTTCGCTGTTGTAACGGAACATGGTCGAGCGTGTCGCTGGGGCCATATCCCCACAGCGCACTTCGCCAGCGCTGACGTGCTCTCGATCGGCAGCGTCGTCGATAATGTCTTAGCGACTGTATACGATGCTGAACAGCAGCAAGAGCCAGGAGCTCAATGGCTCGTGGGTATTGAAGCGTTCATGCGGATGTTCTGCTCCGGACGCTTCCACAACGCTGGCATGTTCCAGCTCGCCCAGCTCAATGGCATCGTGTCGTTTGCCTGTTGGAAGCGCTTTCATGCTTTGCCGCTGCACACGCACCCGTCGGCTGCGCGCGGGTTCTTTGGTCTCAGTTCTTCACCCAAAAGCCGCACCAAGAGCAGCATCAAGCATCGAGTCATGGAATTTCTAGAGCAGCACGAACCCGAGGCGACGCGTCAACAGGTTGGAACTTCAACAGCTCTGCCTGGGCTAGAGCGTACGCGCACTGGCGCGCTTGCCGACTCGGCGTTCGACATTGCTGACGCTTACGTGACCGCATCGTACACGCGCTCCGTGCACTTGCAGAAGCAGCTGCTGGTGCAGTTCCCCCAACTTGTGCAGCACTTTTCGACCCGATACCTCGAGTTGACACGTGAAGCAGCTGGTAAGCGGAAGACGAACAAGGAGTCAGTCGAGAGGGAGACGCTAAAGACGATGGACGAAGGGCAGACGCTTGCGTACACGAGTGAATTGTTCACGTTCGGCTTGGGGAACTGGTTCAAACACCATAACATGTGCTTCATGCTGCAAGAAGACGACGAGGTTAGATGAACGCTGTGCTGAGATATGACTTGGTTCTTTCGTCGTGCTTTGATCGACATTACTTCCACGCATTAAGCCTGTATACACTGCTTTCACGTACATCAAGTCCCATGCTTTTTCTCCGATGCTTATGCGCTCAGTGGAACTCGTGCTCGTCAGTCCACACCTCGTCCTTCTTCTCGCGCTCGTAGTAGTCGAACAGACTGTCAGGCTCCAGGCCAAGCAGCGGCTGGTTCTTGTGGACAGTCATGGCCTCTACGAACAGCTGCACCAGGCTGATGTTCGTCAGCAGCGGGATGGAGAAGTCGACAGCCGTACGGCGGATGAGGTAGTTGTTCTTCGTCTGCTGGCTCTCGTTGTTGGGCAGGTTCACCACTAGATCGATCTTGCCGTCCCGGATCAGGTTCAGCACGTTGTTCTCGCTGTCGGCGTCCAACGGAAAATCCACCGCGGTCGACGGGATGTCGTATTTCTCCAGGTACGCGTGCGTCTTCTTCGTCGTGTACAGCTTGTATCCTAGCTCGTGCATCTGGTAGGCAGCGTGCACGAACTCTTCTGAGAACTTGTCTTGCATGGACAGCAAGATGTTTTTCTCCGGCAACTTGATGTTCGACGAGATCAGGGCCTTCAAGAATGCCTCGTGACGGTTCTTGCCAAAACAAGCCACCTCACCCGTCGAAGCCATCTCGACACCAAGCAATGGATCCGCGCCACCAAGACGCGTGTACGAGAACATCGGCGACTTGATGCCAACAAAGCCCTCTGGACGCTTGGGGCCGTAAAGGGCTGGCAAATTGTCGTTGTCCGTCGACTCGCCTACCATCACCTTGGTGGCAGCGTTGACGAAGTCCGCACCCGTCGTCTTTGACACGAACGGGAACGAACGCGAGGCACGCAGGTTGCACTCTATCACGCTAACCTCTGCGCCCTTAGCGAGGAACTGCGCGTTGAATGGCCCTGAGATGTTCAGCGCCTTCGCAATCTTCTCAGCGTTGCGCTTGATCTGGTTCGTGTAAAACGCACTGGCCTCCACGGGCGGTAGCACCAATGTAGCATCCCCGCTGTGCACACCGGCGTTCTCTACATGTTCCGAAATTGCAGCAGCGATCACCTTGCCATTCCTGGCCACAGCATCCAGCTCTAACTCCTTGGCGCCTTCAACGAACTTCGTGATCACGACGGGGTGCTCCGCAGACACAGCAACAGCTTGGTTCAGCACATTTTCGAGCTCCTCGAAGTTGTACGCTACATTCATGGCAGCACCACTTAGCACGTACGAAGGACGTACGAGCACAGGGTAGCCCACACGCTCAGCAAATTCACGAGCATCGGTGTGGTTCGTCAACTCCTTCCACGCAGGCTGGGGCACACCAGCCGCATCCATCAATTTGGAGAATTTGAAGCGGTCCTCAGCGCTGTCAATCATCGTCGGGTGTGTGCCCAAGATCTTTACGCCGGCCTTGTGCAGCGGGAGCGCAAGGTTGTTTGGAATCTGTCCACCCACAGACACTACAACGCCCCGAACGCCCTCACGATCGTTCACATCCATCACGCGCTCCTTCGACAGTTCCTCAAAGTACAGTTGATCGCATTCGTCGTAGTCCGTGCTGACCGTCTCGGGGTTGTAGTTAAGCATCACTGCGCGATGACCCAGCTTGCGCAAGGTACGGATGCAGCTCACGGCACACCAGTCGAACTCGACGGAGCTGCCGATGCGGTAGGCGCCGCTGCCTAGGACCATCACACCATCATTGGGTTCCAGTGCAGGCACGTCGTGCTCCGTGCCGTTGTACGTCATGTACAGGTAGTTGGTTTGAGCCGGGTACTCTGCAGCGAGAGTGTCGATCTGCTTCACCGACGGAACGATGCCAAGCTCCTTACGCTTAGCGCGCACCTCTTCATCAGAGCAGCTGAACATGCGGGCAAGCTGACGGTCCGAGAAACCAAGCTTCTTTGCACTAACGATCTCCGGACCCGTGATCTCGTGCAACTTCTTGCCAGTAAGGTTCACATCGCAATCACAAATGGCCTGCAGACGGCTAAGGAACCAAGTGTCAATCTTGGTGATCTCGTGAACTTGCTCGATAGACAGCTGGCCAGTCTTCAACGCCTGGGCGATCTGGTAGATGCGACGGTCCGTGGGCTTGCCCAGAGCCTTCACCAGCTCCTCATGCGAAAGTTCGTCGTATCGTGGCTCAAAGCCCTCGTTGGACGGCTCCACCATACGAATCGCCTTCTGAATCGCTTCCTCGAAAGTACGGGCGATTGACATCACCTCACCAACGCTCTTCATGGACGAACCAATCTCAGTGCTCACGTTCTCGAACTTGGCAAGATCCCAACGAGGCATCTTAGCGACACAGTAGTCGAGCGAAGGCTCGAAGCAAGCAGTAGTGCTCTTGGTCACGGAGTTCTTCAGGTCCGGCAGGTTCATACCCAGTGCAAGCTTAGCGGCAACAAAAGCAAGCGGGTAGCCCGTCGCCTTTGACGCTAGAGCACTTGAACGTGACAGACGTGCATTCACCTCGATGATGCAATACTCCTCCGACTCGGGATTTAGCGCGTACTGGATGTTGCACTCGCCGACAATGCCGAGATGACGCACCACCTTCAAAGCAGTCTCACGCAGGATGTGGTACTCGTTGTTCGACAAAGTCTGCGAAGGCGCGATTACAATCGACTCGCCCGTGTGAATGCCCAGCGGGTCGAAGTTCTCCATGTTACAGACGGTCAGACAGTTGTCCGCGGCATCCCGCACCACCTCATACTCGACTTCCTTCCAGCCCTTCATCGACCGCTCCACCAGAATCTGAGGACTGCCTGAAAAGGCCTGCTTTGCCATCGTGCGCAAATGAGCCTCGTCGTCGCAGATACCCGAGCCAAGACCACCGAGCGCAAACGCTGAGCGGATCATCACCGGAAAACCAATTTTGTACGCAGCCTTCACCGCAGCATCAACCGATTCGACCGCCTCACTCTGAGCAATGCACTCGTTGATCTCTGCCAGCTTGCCGTTGAACAACTCACGATCTTCGGTGTAGTTGATCACTTCAATTTGCGTACCAAGCACTTTGACGTCATACTTCTTGAACACACCACGCTTGTCGAGCTCCATACCACAATTCAATGCAGTTTGACCACCCATCGAGATGAGAATGCCATCGGGGCGTTCACGCTTAATAACTTGTTCTACAAAGTCAGGGTTGACCGGCAAATAATACACATTGCTGGCTTGAGCCTCGCTGGAGCGGTCAATGTTCGTCTGCACGGATGCAATGTTCGGGTTGATCAGGATTGTCTCAATGTTCTCCTCCTTCAACGCCTTGATAGCTTGCGAACCAGAGTAGTCAAATTCACCGGCTTGGCCAATCGACAGACCACCAGATCCAAGTACCAGCACCTTCTTCACCTTGACACGCTTCACTTCTGGGCGCTGCACCAAGCTCTTGATCGGTCCTTTTTCCTTCACGCGCACGGCATCGAGGAACGTATCAAACAGAAACTGCGTGTCAGTCGGACCACCTGCGTGTTCTGGGTGGAACTGCGCCGTGAAGTACGGCTTCGACTTATGGATAATGCCTTCGTTCGTGCCGTCGTTGAGGTTCACGAAAAGCTCCTCCCACTCGCTTGGCAACGTCTTCCCGTCCACTGCAAAGCCGTGGTTTTGGGCAGTAATGTAGCATCGCCCTGTTTTCAAATTGTGTACGGGCTGATTCTGGCCACGGTTGCCGTACGGTAGCTTGTACGTCTTAGCACCTGCCGCAAGACTGAGCAGCTGGTTGCCAAGACAGATGCCAAAGATAGGCTTGACATTGTCGCCTTGCAGTGCCATAGCTTTTTGAAGCTGCGCCGTCGTCTCCTTCATGATCGCTGGATTGCCAGGACCGTTCGAGATAAAGAGACCGTCGTACCAGCCAATCTCTGACGAGATGTCGTGGTTCCATGGCACGCGCTTGACTTCAGCGCCACGATTCACGAGTTCCCGGATGATATTGTACTTGATCCCACAGTCAACAGCCAAGATCTTGAGTGGGTTGCCCTTGCCGTACGTGACCACCTCCTTGGTCGACACGAGCGACGCGAGGTTCGTCTCGTTCACGTCCACGAGATGCGGCGTGTCGGAGCAGCCATCGATGAGAATGCGGCCAGCCATGGCGCCGTGGGCTCGGATCTTCTTGGTGATAGCCCGCGTGTCGACGCCAGCAATACCCGGGATGCCTTCGTTCTCGAGCCACTCCGAGAGCGACTGCGCAGCGTTCCAGTGACTATAGTGACTCGAGTAGTCTTGGACGATGACGCCTGCAGCGTGGATGCGGTCCGACTCGATGTACTTGTGCAGCCCAATGTCGTCCAGGGCGGTCGTGTCGGGCACGCCGTAGTTGCCAATCATCGGGAACGTCATGTTCAAGAGCTGGCCCTTGAACGACGGGTCCGTGAGCGCCTCGGGGTAGCCTACCATGCCCGTCGTGAAGACGACTTCCCCCGCCATGGACTTCTTGGCCCCGAACGAGACGCCGTGGAAGCGCGAGCCGTCTTCGAACTCGAGCACGGCAGGCGTCTCGAAGCGCGGGACGTTGCGGCGGTCCACTTGCATTGCCTTCTCCCGCGCCGACACGAGGAGACGGTGGCCGCTGGCCTTGTACAGCGGCACGCGACGGGTCTTGACGACCGACTGCGCGACGCGGAGCATTGCGTGTGTTTGTGGTGTTGGGCGGGCAACGGACGAGAGAAGCGCGGCAACAACGACGGAGGGACCAAAAGGCAACGCGTCAACTGCAACGAGGGCGGAGTGCGTGCGTCGCTTCCAGTTGGAATATGAGCCCAAACCGAAGGGAGGGCCGACGCGAAGATCGCGGGGGTGCATAGAAAGAGCAACCTGCGGATACGGTCCGCACGCAGCGTAGCTGCCCCATGATAAATTGCGGTCCAAACCACAGAAAAGGACCGTAAACACGCGGTCACTTCGTTTGTTCGGCGCCCGTGCGCCTTCCATGTTGAAGTACTGCGTCTTATGCGGTAGCTGGATTTCGTCCGCAGGTTGCAGTAGAATGATAGATACGTCGCGTTTCGTGATAAACACGTGCGCGCGAGACAGTAAAAAAACTGCATTGTCCAACTAAAGTCGTCATCATCATCGTCGGTTAGGCAGTAGTTTTGGACCCCGTCATTCCTTCTTTCTGGTCATGGCGTGACTGTCGTCACGGAAGTTGCATCTGAAAGCCGAAGCAGCGTCAAGCAGTTTACATCTCGTCACGCTTTTGCGCCACCTGGATCGATAAGATTCGAAAGCTGCTGGACCGAACCCGACCTGTCCGCCACCCATTCTTTCCAGGAAGGAGACGGGGAGCAGCGGCCAAAGTACGCAGGTGGGACTTTGCAGGCAGTGTCAACGCACCTATCGTCTGTCTCTCAGCAAATCACACGCCAGTATCTGTCACCTGCTTGCAAAAACCATAAACCAGCGAAAAGCCTCAAATCACGCTGAAACCAGGCAAAAACCGTTCTGACTGGTTTTACCCCAGCCACGAGCTCCCGACCCGCGATCTTGCGCTCCCCATTTTCCCGATCACTCGCTCTCTCTCCATCCCATGTGGCGCCCTGTCATCCCGCAGCTACCGGCGCTCACTCGCACCATCACGCGCAGCTCCCAGACGTGCATCCCCGCGGTCGCTTCGCTCTCCTCTCGCTCGTGCAACAGCAGCAGTAAAAGCCGCTTTACAGCTGCCGCGTCTCGCTTATCCCCGACGCTGTCGCACGGTCGGGCGCTCTCGTCCCGCACCATGAACGACTACGCGCTGAAGTTAGCGCAGGTCCTGGCGCCCGAGACGACGGTCCAAGAGCTCCAGGAGCTCTACTGCACACCCGGCGTGCAGCCCACGACTGTGATCAAAATTGGAGGCGACGTGATCATCCACGAGCTCGAGACGCTGCTGGAGTCGCTGCAATTCATGCGAGAGACGGGGCTGTTCCCGATCCTCGTGCACGGCGCAGGACCACAGATGAACGACGAGTTGGAGCGACAGGGCGTTGAGCCGCAGTACGTGGGTGGCAACCGCGTGACGGACCTCAAGACGCTCGAGATCGCTCGGAAGATCTTTCTGGAGACGAACGAGACGCTCGTGGGTGCACTGAATGGTGCGGGCGTGAACGCCCGAGGCATCACGAGTGGCGTGCTGCAAGCGGAGTTCAAGGACAAGGATGTGTACGGCTTTGTCGGGGAAGTGCACAACGTTTGCGCCGATGCGGTGCAACAGGCGATCAATGATGGCTACATTCCAGTGCTGTCGTGTCTTGGAGAGACTGCGGACGGCCAGACGCTGAATATTAACGCGGACGTAGCAGCTCGACAGCTGGCGTTGGCGATGCAGCCGCTGAAGACCATCTTTGTGAATGCCAAAGGAGGCTGGGTCGAACCCGATGGTGTGAAGCTCAAGACGATCAATATGGCGAAGGACTATGACCGCATGGCTGCTCGGGACTATACTGGTCGCCAAGGCACGCTCTTGAAGCTGAACGAGATCAACGCACTCCTGCAGGGCTTGCCATCGACCTCATCCGTGGTCCTCACGTCAGCATCACAGCTCATGCGTGAGATCGTGAGCAAGAAGAGTGCAGGAACAACGTGCGTTAAAGGCGAGAAACCTGCTGCTGCTGCTGCTACAAAGACGAGTGCCAAGGCGCTGGCGATTCCACGCGGTCCTAACGGAAAGTATCGCATCGGTCTTCTTGGTGCACGCGGATACGTGGGTGGCGAGCTTATTCGCGTGATTGGCCGCCATCCAGAGCTGGAGCTAGTGTGTGCCAGTTCTCGAGCTCTGGCTGGTGAGAAGATTGTGAAGGTTGCTGCTGCCCCACCCTTGAATCCGCATACTAAGCTACCAGCCAAGCCAGTTGAGGATGTGAAGCTGAATATTCATCCGGACTTGGAATTCTGCGAGCTTGGACTGGACGATATTGCAACGTCGCCATTTGGAGAGAGTGTAGACGTGTGGGTGCTAGCATTGCCCAACGGCTATTGCGAAGACTACGCGACGGCATTGGACGCACTGCACCGGAAGAACAAGGTCATCATTGATTTAAGTGCTGACCAGCGTTTCAACTCGGACTGGACCTATGGCCTGCCGGAGGCTCCAGGTGGGCGAATGCGTTTACAGGGTGCCACCCATATCGCGAATCCTGGCTGCTACGCTACTGGCGTGCAGCTTGGTCTGATGCCGCTTCTTGGGGGTAAGCCAGAAGTGAGTGGAAATCTGCTCGACAAGAGTGTTCCACCGCATGCATTTGGGGTTTCGGGCTACAGTGGTGCTGGCACGAATCCCTCCAAGGCCAACGATCTGGATGTGCTCAATGACAACATCATTGCGTACAAGTCTGTGCAGCATATCCACGAGCACGAAGTCAGCCACCAGCTTGGCACGCCCGTTCGGTTCATGCCTCACGTGGCGCCGTACTTCCAAGGCATTCACCTCACATTGTCCGCCCAGCTAGCTGACAATGGGATCATCACGTCAGCAAAACAGGCAGAGGAACTCTACCATGAGTTTTTCGCCAATGAGGCTCTGGTGAAAGTTACGCCGGACATTCCGTTGGTCAAGGACAACGCATTCCATGCGCACGCGACTGTAGGTGGCTTCCAATTGGACCAAGACACGGGTCGACTCGTGGTAGTCGTCACCATTGATAATCTTCTCAAGGGGGCAGCTACACAGGCAGTACAGAACATCAACGTCGCACTTGGAATCGACGAGTATGTTGGCATCGACCTTGAGTAAGGTCTTTTGCCTCTTCGCGCTGTTGACAATTCGGTTTCGTCGTCACAAGGAGGAGCAGCACTATTCACGTGTGCCGATCCGCCCGCTAAACGTATGAAGCCTGATTGTGGACAACACCGATAAAGACAACGGTTAGTACGACATGAAGTACTCGAGATGCTTGTGGTTGCTGCTCGTGATGAATAGTGAGATTACAGATGTGCTGGAAATAGGTCGATGCCTTGGTACTATGGTGCAATAACGCAAGCAAAGTATTGTCTCTTACACATACAACGATCCAAAGAGCGAGAAGCTCACGATGTCTACAAGTCGAGGTGGTAGCAGGACCCAACTAGTACTGCAAGATCGGATCTCCAACGCGATCGATAATCGGGACCGTGCACTTAAGATCAAACACTTTGCTGAGCACTACCTTGAACACTTTTTGCACATTGATCGAGTGCGACGCAGACGTGAAGATAAGAGGCGCTTTCATAGCCTTGGCAAACTTGCGAGCCTGTTGCCCACCACCAGCAGCACCAGTAGCAACGTCAACTTTGCTCGAAAAGAGCACGACCCACAGCTACCTGTCCTATCGGCACGCACCTGTTTTGTAATTTCCTCTTGTTCTTCCATGGCAAAGTTGGCAAAGTGGTCGTACTTCATCCCGACTAGGAACGGAAACGCATTCTATCAACAAGAACGATAACGTCAATAACGTCAGTACCGGACACACCAGATAGAGTCGGAGCAATGCACAAATAGAGCACCTTATTGATCGAGCGTACTTGGCGGTACCACTCCTTAATACTCGTGAGCGTCGCCTTTCGGGAGAGGTCAAACATGAACAAAATCGCGACGGCGTCGTTACACACGAGCGGGAGCATGCTAATGAACTCGCGGTGGCCGCCCAAGTCCCAGATACTGAAAGTGATTTCCGTATTACGCAGCGCAATGGTCTTTTCCATGAAATTGACGCCCAGCGTGTGGATATAATCCTCGTCGAACTTGCCCTCCACGTACTTCACCATGAGACTCGTCTTGCCCACTTGGGCGTCCCCCACCATACCGACTTTCACCACCACGTTGTTGCGACTGGACCCGCTGCCACCGACAGAAGAGCCGCCTGCTGGGCCGACGCCTCGAGACGCTCGCTCGACACGCGCGCCAGTCGTGCTTGGACTCGAAGCGTCGACTCGCTTTTCAGCCATTTCAACGCGACTGCACGAGCGAAAACTCGCAACAACACAAACGGATAAAAGCAGGAGAGTTTGGGCGCTATCAGATTTGACTTTTTCTCTGCGGGATCAGACGGTGATGATCGATCGCGAATAATCCGGCTTTTTCTTCACCCACGTCGTCGACGACCTCGTGCACGGGTTGGGTCTTTTTGTTTTGCTACCTCCTTTTTGGGACACAGTTTGTTGTAGCGCAGGGGCTGGCTGGCCGTCAGTCCGCCTTGGATACGTTGTCGACCACGTTGACTCCAGCGTTTGGCTCGCGTACTGAACACCTGTTTCATCGACTTCAATGACAGCGTCTACCTGGCGAATCTCCACAGTGAAAACTCAGAGCAAAAGAAGATGGTCAGAACTCGTCCACACAAGACACAAACACCACGTCTGTCCATTCCTGTGGCCCGATTTTAGCTTCCTCTCTCTCTCTTTCTCTAGTGACACGCGCGAAAGAAGTGCCATGAACTACGCGTTTTGTGACTTAAACTTGCTCGCCGCACGCAATCACCAAGCCGCAAAATCTAGACTGCAGGTACTAAGCTATCGAACGTGTAGGATACATCCACTTACCCGTACGTAGCCCGTGGTATGACGATTTCCACGGGGCCGTAATCGCTCACTGCAACCAGAAAATGTCTCTACATTGCACTTGTTTCGCGTCTCAATTCATACGTGCAAGCAAACAGCTACGCAGCAGCTGTGGCCTCCGTTGATGTACTGGTCGAGTCGCCTCAATTTCTCCGCCTTTATCGTCAAGATTCAACGCACAAAAGCTTGCAGTCGACCAGCTGCACAGGAACGTTGACACGATCCTTGCTGTTCCTGACAGTTGCAGCTGGAGACTGACTCACCGTAGCGCAGCCAGATGAGTCACGAGGTGTACGAGGTTCAACATGACGAAACGATATCATGCAGCACATGTACAGGCGAACCTGCAGATGTTATCGAAGTGGTCCTTGTTTACGCCTTATCAGCAATCCATCGGGTCGCGCTAGGCGCCAGACTAAATGTTAATGACTAGCAGTGTGAGCGAGGGATGACATCTATTGGAAGCAGCTACATATCTAGCTCGAAGGTACGGTCTTCATTTGTGACACTGATTATGGTGTGCAGACAACCTCTAGTCTGCAGGTCGTCAAGGTCAGGTGTGTTGCAACACCGGGCACTCGTGGTTGGAAGAATCGAATTTCCTCTATCTTTGGCCACAAAGCGTTCTCGCGGGGACAGCTTTTGAGGCTGCGAAGTCATTTGAAGCAGGTGATGTTGTCGGACTTGTGGTACTGGTGATTTTGTCACGCGGAGGACTAATTTGATATGGAAGAAGGAAACTGTTGGGCTGCCATGCCGCCGCTATTGTCGTTCTACTCCACAACCAAAGAAGTGAAAGCTGTCGACACAAGATGATCTTTGTAGCGAGCGCATACTGTAAATGCACAAGATATACGGGTGCGACTAATAGTTGGAGGCGGGGTGAGGCAAGAAGGGTAAGAATGCAATCAATGTCGGTGGGTGCTCAACGAACCGCGTTATAGCAGTCACAGACTGATGCTGCTCATGTGCCAGTGTCACGATGCAACGCAAATCGTACTGATTTTTGTCGTGCTGCTCCTTTGAAACCATGTGGCGATACGAGCATGGACTAGGTAGATCTCTTGGAGTTTACACAGAATAGGTCTCGCCTACCCGTCCACTCAACTGCCGCTCGACTGTGAATACGTAACGGAGGCGCTGAGGATCAACTACTTTCGTTGTAAAGTATCATGTAGCTCTAGCGAAGAGAGACGGAGGCTGTGCTTTAACTTCAAGAAATGGATAATGAGCACGTTTGCGCTCATTCAGTACAGGAATGGCGGCAGTCCGGATCGAGGACTTGAAATGAAGCGGCCTTGGTTCAACAAAGCATCTGCATTGGGATCAAAGTAGATGGGAATGCAGCGAAGCAAGTATGGTACCAGCAACGTGGCACGTACAAGAAGTACCGACATACTAGTGCTCTAAAAGGTCGCACCTTTGATGCATCGACGCATCAAGTGTGATTTGATCGGCGATGTCCATAATGTCTTACAGCGGTTTAGTTTTTCCCATGTCATGTAATCTAAAGTCTTCGATACAATAGACCGGACGAGGAGATCTCAACTCGAATCGAGCGTTGTGGCTCGTCGTACTTCTTCGAAAGAGTGATGCAAAATTCACGACTACTACAATCGGAAGTTGTCGTTAACTCGCTTCATCTCATGCAGCAGCAACAGCCCGGATCCCCCTTGCCTACATTCCTGATAATTTACAAGCTTCTCGTGGCATCAGGTGCTGACATTTTGACATCAGTGACAACACGAAGATGATACGACTCTCATTCTCACCCCGTTAAGACACGTCCGTGTGACGATAGCTTGTCAAGTTTTTCATGATTGTGAACGGCCAGTTGCTGTACTCACTTTCTTCACCGCTTGCGAGCCAAAAGCATGACATATGGTAAGCATACAACTACGTACAGATGATATGATCGGAACCATGGCTGAAATAGCTTATAAAATGATACCCATGGCCTCGCTCGTTTGGAATTACTTATCTGAATCATGCGCTTTAAGCAGAAAGCATTGCAAACATACGCACGAGATGGTCATTGATGCAGGTAAAAAGTTACGATTAACATCGAGGCAACATCCGAATAGCAATTGGGTCCTACGACAACAAACGCGACGTCTAGAAAGTGATGCTGATCCACAAATTTGCCTCGAGGTTTGAAAGCTCGGATTTCTGCCAATGTTGTACCTTTGCATACGTGTCGTCTCTGTGCCTCAGTAACGTCGCTGAAATTGCTGCACGAAAGCAGCTTACAAGTCATATGTGCTCGCACTATTTCGCGTCGCCTTCCAATCCGTGCTTACACGTTTAGGAGCAAACGTACCATGGCACCGTTGCCTGCAGCATTTTGACGCATATAACTACCATATCTTCCACCAACTGCAACGAATATCGATCCAAAATTGAAGGACTGATTGCTCGTTGCCGTCGACCTTGCGTGGCCTCGAGATATCTCAAACCCGTGACAATCTCCGAATAATTCTGCATTCCACTATCCACATGAGTTGTGAGCTCTACCGTTTCTTGCCTTTGCTCTTTCGTCTTGTCGAAGAAGTCGTGGCACTTTTCTCGCTAGCTACCGTCTTGGATTCGATTTCAACCGTGCCACCCTATAGTACATACAACAGCGTGTCAACCTGATTGCACTCGCTGGCAGCACCGATGCAGAACCACCCAAAGACGTACCACAATATCCTCTCGATGTGCACTATGTTCAACCTTATTCTGCGTGTCAAGATAGAACATCAGATCGCGGACCTGGCCCTCCAAATCACCAACCCGCAATGCTGTCTCCTGCTCAACACGTGCGTTGTGCTCCTCGAGCTGACACACGCGCTCCTTCCACTGCTTCTGGTTCTCGATCAACGACTTGTTCAGCTCTCTAACACGCGACAACATGTACCCATTCGCGTCGATTTTCAAGCTATCGCCAACAATATCCTCTACTTCTTTCCACGCACCTTACAAACGCCAGCTCCTCCTCGAGCTTCTTGGTCTTTTCAGCTAGCGTCGTATTTGCTTTCTTGAGATGCTTGCATTCGTGCTCGTGTGCATTCAGCAGCTGTCGGCTCTCGCCTTCCTCAACTCGTGCAAGCAGCCGTTCGTAATAGAGACGCTGTTCCTCCAATTGACTAGTGCGCAACGAGCAGCAAAGACATCAGACCAACTACAAGGTTCAACAGCAAACGAGCAAGTACTGCTCACCTCTTGAGCAAAAAGTTGTACTCGACGGCAAGCTTTTCAAGCTTCCGATGTTCGCCTTCTTCTTCCTCTGCTGAAGTAGTCGGAGGATGCTGCGAGCGCTCGCTGCTAAGATTGTTCGGGCTTGGGAACTCCACAAACTTCCCATCCTGCTTGTTCAAAATCAGTCGATGGACATAGCCATCCCCGGCATAGTCCCACACGCGCTGAGTCTCCAACTCTAACGAGTACGTGTGTAGTGTGTCCTGATAGTGCTCTTTAGCATGCTCACCCGAGTAGCGTCCACAGCCAACATGGCCACAGATCAGACAGATCCAGAGGTGCTCAGCTGTACCGCACACCTCGCACGACGACCCAATGTCGCCATGACTATATCGACATACTGGACAGCTCGATCCTTCCCATCGGAAGAGACAGTCACAGTGGAAAGAGTGGTTGCACAGCGTCGTCAGAATGCCCGACGCCGAAGCATCGAGGCGATCTAGACAGACCGCACACGTCGGGATCTCCGTCATTCCAGCTGGTGGCAACGGGAACAGTTTACGCATCTGCATTCTACTAGTTCTCGACTCTGCCTGGGAGCTCATCAACCCACTCGCGACAATCTTGTCGCCACCTGCATCTTTCTCTTCCAGTGCGTCGCAGGTCAATTGATCTTCACCAGCTACAAGGTCAAACTCGATGCTTCGCACAAACACAATCTTGCACCGTTCCTGCTCGATCGAGTTAAAGTACTTGCCCGTATGCTCCTACGTATCTCACAATACAACGGGCGCATCCGACACAAAAGACAAAACAGAACAAACAAAACAGAACACAACAGAACAAAAAAAGAAGAGACCAAGAGACCATAATTGGGCCACGAATAAGCATGCGACCAATAATTGCAATGCAGCAGTGACCCTCCGTACCAAAAAGAATTGGTCCGCTCGGTCTTGGGTCTGGAATTGCACGAGCACCATACAATTATTTCGCTCCGAGTCCTTGAGAACCCGCACAAGCGCAATGTTTTCTCGAAAACTCGACAGGAACTCGAGGATCTCGACCGGCGACATGTGCGACGGGACTGTTACGACGCACACCAATGCACTGCGTTCACTCGGCAGTTGCTGCGTTAGTACCGCGCTGCTAGTGGTGCTTGTACCACTGAAACTGCTTGAGCTATTCGCTTGGTTCGAGATCGACACCGTCGAGGTGGTGTACGTCTCGTCTGCTCGGTAGAACCGCAACTTGCCCGTGATGACGCGGACCTGCGGGTTGCCAGTGAGGAAGGAAGCGCTGTCGTTGATTGAGTGGATTGCGTCATCAGCCGTGACGTGCGCAGCGTCGGCTTCGACGCGGATCTGGAACATGGTTCGAGACCGAAAGGATGGAGGTCACAAGTGGAGTTTCGGGGTTTGGAGAATCAATTAATTAATTGATCAATTGAATTCAAAGCGTTGTGACGGAAATTCATTTACGCTGAGACGCAAACTTTTAGTGTCCTGAGTTGGTATCGGATTTTAAATGTGCGGAGCAAGGCCATATGGCGAAGGAGCGCCCCTGTTTAGTGACTTGTGGTTTTGAGCCAATAGAGGCCGCAGAGAATGCGATAGCGTCGGATTTAAAATAGAGCTGCGCCGTTGTTGTCGCAGCTGAAGAGACTTTCATTGGATGTTCCTGTCGTGTCCTCGCATTGTCGTGGTCTTTTTCTGTCCCGCTCTCTCACTTCCCACGCACCCCTTTTTTTCTGTCGCATAAGTCAACGTACACTTTTGTATACACACGTACACGCCACAACTGGAGAAAAGCTCAAGTCAAGTCGCAAAAGCCAATTAGAGCGATAGTCGCGCCATGTTCACCCAGTCGTACGTCTCTCTGCGCTCTTGCGCTTGCTGTTGCTGCTATCATTGAACGATGGATGAAGCGGCTGACCATTCTGTGCCCCACTCTCTCTCTCTCTTGTTACAGGTATACGGATCCGAGCGTCCAGAGCGTTCCGGACGTGACCCCTATCAAACCGTACGCGAGTTTTTTCGTTTTTTTGCCGTCGTGAATATCGAGATGTTCGTATATCGTTTTGTATACACATATACACCGTATTTGTATACGACTTGGTTTTATCGATGAAAAAAGCGCTCATTTCGTGGCTCACTTGTCGATTTTGTTGTCCAATAGCGAGCAAAAGACGGTCGAGACAAGCACGAAGTGCCAAGACTGGCCGTTTGCGCTGCTTTTCGTGCTCAATGTCGGTACCATTCTCGCCCTGATGCTCGTGTGGGGTGTCCAGACCGTCACGGACCCAGAAAACCACGCGAGTGAGCTGCTCCCGGGCAACGACACCCAAGTCGTGCTGGCGATTGCCACCGCTATGGCCGTCTTGTCAATGGTCTTGGCTCTTGTGATGGTTAAGCTCTTTGTGGCCCACGCACGGGTCATGATCCTGTTTGTGCTGTGGTTCAACGTGGGCATTTCGTTTGCCTTTGCTGCTTATGGAGTCGTCCTGGGCAATATTTTCATTGCCATTATTGGTTTCATGATTGCGCTGCTGAATCTTTGCTACGCCCGTGCGGTGCAGCATCGCATTCCGTTTGCCGTTGCCAACTTGCGTGTGGCGGAAGGAGCGATTCGCAAGCACTCGTCCACGTACATTGTGTCGATTGTGTTTACAATTGTGCAGATCGTGTGGGTGATCATCTGGGCATTGGCTTTGCTGGGTGTTGCCAACAAGATTGCGAAAGCGAACCCGAGCTCGACAACCACTACGACCACGACATCCACTCGATCTGCGTATCGACAGTCGGGAGCGTCCTACATCGCGTTCTTCTTCCTGCTGCTCTCTTTCTATTGGGGGCTCCAGGTTTTCAAGAACGTTGCACACACGACTGTTGCAGGCACCGTCGCGACGTTCTGGTACAACACCGAGTCAGCAGGTGCTACAGGTGCCTCGTTAAAGCGCAGCACGACGTCGTCGTTTGGTTCCATCTGCTTTGGCTCGTTGATTGTCGCCTTCTTGCAGGCGCTTCGCTCGGTACGTGATTGGGATCATCCAGAGCGTTGAGGTGCTATTTTGTTCGTATACTCACTGGAGGATGTGTGCCGATTGCAGTTGGCAGAGAGCGGACGTCAAGACGGCAGCGCGTTGGCGTGTTTTGCAGAGTGTATCTTGGGCTGTCTGCAGTCGCTCATGGAGTATTTCAACCGCTGGGCGTATGTGTACGTTGGCATCTACGGCTACAACTTCACGCGGGCAGGCAAGGCCGTGTTCGAGCTCTTCAAGCAGCGTGGTTTCGATGCCATCATCAATGACGATCTGATCGGCAATGTGCTTGGGTTCGCAGCCCTCGGAATCGGTACGGTCTGCTCATTGACCTGGTTGCGCTATAGACATGATGGATGTGGCTGACCTTGTGCCCTACCTCGCAGGCCTCATTTGCGCTGCTGCCGGAGCAGTGATCGCCGAGACGACCGACGCCATTACTTTCCAGAACAGCACTGCGTTCCTGGCGATTTTGGGTCTCATTGTCGGCATCGGCGTCGCAGTCACGCCTCTCGCTGTCATTGACAGTTCAGTCGCCACGATCTTCGTCTGCTTTGCCGAGGACCCCGCGGCGTTCCAGCAGTCACATCCCGAGCTGTACGCGCCGCTCGTGCAGGAATGGCACAATCTCTACCCGGACGTCATGGTACAGGCAGGTTACTCGTACGCGTAACAACGCGTCCTGGTCGGACTTGCAACTTGTAGTCACTGGTGCTAATGTCGATGTATACAGCTCTTCGATATCCGCTCTCCATCGCCATGGTGTTGTTTTCGTTCCCAGTCGACCTCTGTGGGCCGTTTCAAAGCAGTCGAGCCATTTGCCATGTTCAGTTAACAACAGCCGTCTCTTGGATCGTGATTACGCTTGACTGACGCTCGTGCTCTAGTAGGTTCCAATCTCGTCTCGTCGTAGCGTCCAAGTCGCAACGTGGTTTTGTGCCAGCCATTTGCTCTCTTGTCGATACGAACAGAGCCAACTCGAGCTGCTTGAATGACCCTGTCCAAGGTACTCGACGCAGTCTCGGACACTCTCGTCGCGCGACACTTTTCAACTATCGCAGCGGCACACGGAGGAGCCACTGGATCGGCGAATGCTGCAGCTGCAGGTCCGAAGGATGATGATGTCCTGATGTTGAGCCAAGCCGCAGCAGATCCAAGTGCATGGATCGTCGTGCTCCACTACGGCGCGATTCTCCTACTCATCGTCTTGTCGGCTATTTCATCAGGACTTACGCTCGGGCTCATGTCGCTCGATAAAGTGAGTCTCGACGTGATCGTGCGAGCAGGAGCTCGTCCAGAAGCGACGGTCGAGGAACGAACGAAAGCTCAAGCAGCTCGACGGATCCTACCTGTCCGTGCTGACAGCAATTTACTGCTCACGACCCTCGTGCTCACGACGGTCGCTGTCAACTCTCTCCTCTCGATCCTCCTGGTCGACTTGACAAGTGGCGTCGTAGGCTTCTTCGCCTCGACGGCGCTCATCCTCGTGTTTGGCGAGATCTTGCCGCAGTCGATCTGTTCAAGACACGCGCTGTCCATTGGATCGACGTTCGTCCCGGTCGTGAAAGGGCTGCGACTTGTGCTGTATCCGCTTACGAAACCTGTGAGCTACACGCTCGACCGGGTGGTTGGGGAAGATGTAGGCACGATGTTTACCAAGCGAGAGCTGCAGAAACTCGTGGAGATTCATGTGAGACAGCAGATTGTGCACCCGGAAGAAGGGTGTATTGTACGCGGAGCAATGAGCTACAAGAACAAGGTCGTGAGCGACATTATGATGCCAGCCGACAAGCTCTTCTCGCTTTCGATATCCTTTCTACGCTCTGTACTTGTTCCCATTGTGTTTGCTGCACGTATGGAGCCTACGACGTCATGAAGGGGTTGGTTTGCTTAACTTTGCTCGGTTGATATGCTGTGCTATGTTTGCTGTTTCGTTCAGCACACGAGTACAAGACTTGATCTCGAGATGCTCAAGGTGATCTACAATAGCGGGTACAGCCGCATCCCAGTGTGGAAGAAGGACCCGAATGACGTCGTGGGCATTGTCTTTACCAAAGACTTGATCTACGTGGATCCGAATGAAAACGTGCCACTCATCGCCTTTGCCCGCGTCTTCGCGGTGGCAGCACATCGCATCTGGCTGGACGCCGAGTTGGGCGAAGTCCTCAGTGTCTTCAAAATGGGCAGTACCCACATGGCACTCGTCTACGATGTCAACAACTGGGGTTTGGTAAGCTTGACGGAGACTGCTGCTTGATGTCACACAAATACGAACGGTGCGGTAGATCCTGACGTTCTGGTCTGCCCGATAGAGTGATCCGTTCTACGAACTCATGGGCTTCGTGACACTCGAGGATATAGTCGAAGAAATTCTGCAGTCCAAGATCATGGACGAAACCGACTCGCCAAAGGCCAAGAAGGAGCGCCAGAACTGCACGGACCAGATCGGGTTTTCTGACAGGGGTGAGTTTGGCACTTGCGCTATGGTTAGCTTGGTAATCTCTCACACCAGCGCCCCTCACAGCTCGCTAGAAGTGCTGACCCGTCATGTGTATCTGCTCCTGTCCAGAATACTCGGATGAAGACGCACTACTACTTGCAGAGACCCAACCGACCTTCGGCACCGCACTTTGAAGCGAAGGCAGCGATATGAGGCAGAGTGCGTGCACTCGATGAGACAGCAGTGAGGGAGCCCACCACTTGAATAAGAGTGCGGAATCGAATGATGCTGGACCGGGTTGCAATAACTCGCGTCTGCGTCCACCTGCAGCTCGGTCTTCCGCTGACGTACGAGAGTTAGCGCGCTCCCTATCCTCGTTATCTAGTGTGCCGATCAACCGAATGTGCGATGCTCAGGTGCATGTCTAATGGTGGTCGTTCCCAGACAGGGCTGGGACAGCTTCGTTTTATCGTGTAACATAGGAATCGTCGTTGTAGGCAAGCGCTTAAAGCTGCCACGCACCACCTCTACATACACCTTGACGACCTGCAAGGAAGCGGTCTTTCTGTCTTGCCTCGTGGGCATCGAGGTCGGGGGGGGCGCTTTACGACTGTCTTATCTAGCGAAAAAAACTCTGATGTTTTGTGTGACTCGTACGCGTTTCCCCGTCCCCCAGCACACACGCAGGTAAAAATCTAGTACGAATGTTGTGTTAGGACGAACAGAATGTTCTCATAATGCTGACTGAATAAGTAATATTGTGCTGCAGAAGTAATACACTGCTCATTGGTTGACATAGATTAGCTAAATCAACCGATAAAGTCAAGCCACGACTGAAGAACGCGATGAGTGGTGAGCAGATCGTTACAATACATGTTCGTATCTCAGTATAGTTTAATGAAGACAAAATTGGACTTGTGGACAGGTAACCAACTGTACTAAGTGCAGTTCCAATTTGCCTTCTCTTATGTTGAACCCTTCCTTTGCACGATGCGTGTACGTGAAGTCTCGACGCATCACCTTACTCTGTGTTCAGTGTAAGTAGATTCTGCTGTGACAGTACAAGTTACCGGTGCCCCTTTACACCAGGTAGCACTCCAAAGTCCGTCCAACGGCTATGAGCATGTTAAAAGGTGAAGTGGAAGAATTCCATCCAACGCACGAGAGCTACTCCCATTTGAGTCAAATTGAATGTTTTGCTGTCGAACGCTTGAGTCCGACGATAGAGCATATAGTCGTAGGCGCAATACTGTCCGCTCTGGGTCCATACGGGTAACACGCCGCATTGCCAAGCTCATTCAGAATGAACTTGACGCTGAACGGGAAAAGGTAGCCGTGCTTCACCAACAAGGGTCTCAACAGACAGAGCTGTTCAGAGAACCGAGTAATTAACAGTTCGAGTTGTTGAGACAGCTGCAGGCTGCTGCCATCGGGCCGACACACTCACGTCGAACCGAATCACTGAAGATTGACATCTCCAAATACAAAGTAGCCGAAGAAGACTCTCTGCTAAGATGGTTTGTTGAGTTAGATGACGCCATAATGGCTCCTCACATCGTCGATGAGAAAATGCAGATAGCATTCACTCGGTTAGACTTGGCAGAGCGTGCGAAGACCTGGGCCTTGGGCCTCGAGCTACACAAAGCATTTGTCTTTGGGCCGTTAGAAGTATTCAAGTACCTGCTTTAGCAAACATTCGAACCACCGCGAGCTGAGTTCAGGGCTCGACCTGATCTTATGAAACTCAAACAAGGCAAACGTGAAAATACACTCGTTCATTCACTACATAAGTCGTCTTATGAGTCGCATCACGTCTAATCCGCCGAATGAACAAACGTTGATCACGTTGTTCATGCAGGATCTCACAGACGATCGAGTCAGGATCTATCTCTTCCGGCTGGAATTTGATACCCAGGAAGAGGCAATATGAGTTGCGGAACAAGAAGGTTTTAATGAAACAAGCTAACGTGAGCTCAATCCTACCTTACCCTGAAGCAACAGGAAAGCGGAGGCCTAGAGCAGATGGGCCTCTACAACGCTGAGAGTGAAATCTCTCGCGTTAACAATTATAAGATATTGCAGACATGCAGTAAATGCCAAAAGCCAGGCCATTATGCAAAAGAATGCAGTTCCCCGAACACTGTACCACGTACCGCAGGAAACAGTACTCGTAAAGCAGCCAAGAAGGGTCGGAGTCGTGGGTCCGACGCTGTTGCAAAAACGCAACACCGTAATTGGACGACAAAAAAACTGTCAGGTACAGTAGGTATGGAGCACCATAATGATTAAGCAACGTCATACGAGTTTTCAGGCCTCTCGACGAATAATGATTCGAACACGAAATTATTATGTGTTACTGTCAATGGTGTTGAGGTTTCCCTTATTACATTGAAACTTGAAATAGAATAAGGACATGTCACTACGAGCCCTAGTCGATTGTGGAGCTTCAAACAACTTGGTGCCACGCCATTCGCTAAATAAAAACAAGCTTACGTTTATTATCTCGAGATCCCATTGCCAAGATGACAGGTCGCCTCGAGGTAGGCGTATCCGTAACAGTGACAAACATGTAGCAGGACTTTTCAGTACACTAGAAAGAAGTCTAATACGATGATGACTCCATCGGCTTGAACTTGGATGACTAGCTTGATGATATCATTGGTTTGTGTGGCTCACAAGGTACAATCCACAAATTAGCTGACATCAACGAAGTATCGATATGCCCGCCACTTTTTCACCAGACGCCCACCTGATGAACGTCTTGGAGCGTCCACCATCGTGTGGATGTACTACGATTTAGTGAGATATCCTCGCGTGAGTTCGATCGTGAGTACGACTGCACACGATCACGAAATGACTGATTATCATAATGCAAGGTAAGTTTCCGGCGACTGCGTAGCATTTCAGGAAGTGCCGAAGGTCCACCTCTCGACTAAGCTGTGCGGACCGGGACATGATTTCTCCTCTACAGACAACACCTGGATCATGACCAATCGATTGCCAATGATAACCAACACGGAGATGGAATATCCTAAGAGGCCAGAGTTGAGAATTTAATTCCCCGAAAACAGTGGAATGAATTCTTTTGATCTGAAAGAGACTATGCATGTTTTAATAAACGACGGATTAAGCGTAGGTAGCCATTGCATGATCTGGTATTGCCCCCAGAATTAAAATTGAAGATCACTTAGTTTCCCCCGCTGTGCCAAAAGAGGATTTTACGTGACCTACGTAGTGAGAAAGTGAAGCAGATCTGTGTACTAGTGGACGAGAATAAGTACGTCAGTGATATAAAATCGGTAACGATCTTTGCCGAAGGTGTACGCATTCTCATTGTCTCACGAATTGATGAGAGTGTCCTTGTTGAGAAGACTCGAATCAAGCGGCAAACATTCAAATTGTAAAAATCTCTCAAAACAAATCCTCTCTACGATAATTTGATGAAAATTAGGGACGTATTCTAGCAGCAGTCCCGAGCTAGTTACCTAAGGACAAATGAAATTGTCACAAAATAGACATTAAACCGGTATCGAAGTACTGTATCATGAAGCAATCGCCACTGCCTTGTGAAAGAGTACTAGCGATCAACAAAAAATTCCTTGCAGATCACTAAACAGCCCGCCATGTCAGATGATCGACCTCTCCACATGGATCTCTTACCTGCTATGTGCGAAAGACCACAAGAGGGTGGCGGATAGTGCACGCCTTTAACAAGTTGAGCGCTGCCACTGTATCGGTTTTAACACAAAAACCAAGGGAGTGTGTCATCATAGAGGGTACAGCCAGAAGTACCATCTTTTCAATATGTTATTTGGTGGATGGATTCATCAGATTCGTATGCGCGAAAGGGACATTCTCTATACTGCTGTGAACATCCCAAGCGGTGTGATTTGGAAGTGGTTAGTAATTCCACAGAGGCTAAGTAATGCCTCTGCCACATTGGTCAGATGCGTAACAAATACATAAAGATCCGTAAGAGAGTTCGCGCTTAATTACTTCGACAAAGTGCTCGTCCATAGCTGTACTATGGATGGAAGTCCATCGAATCCACGTCCAACAAGTTTTTACGCTGATGCTCAATCATAAGTTGTACGCAAATCTCAAAAAGTGTATTTTGCTGCTAGCAATAAACAACTTCTTGGGTGCATCGTGGCAAGCACGGTTTCCAATCCAATCCAGAAAAGATCAATGCGATCGCCGGCTGGCTGGTGCCTAAATATGTCAAGGGATTCCAAAGGGTTCTTGGCCTAGCGGTGTATTTGCACGAATACTCGCACAGTTACGCCGAATTACTTTTTATCTTTCTCGTATATTTAAAAATAATGAGAAGTTGGAACGGAGTGCCGAACGCCTGCGCTCTTTTCAAGATAATAATCAAGCTAGACACGATCGCCAGTTTTAGCAATTGCAGACCATATCATGTGATCCTCGATGCAGGTGGTCTTCCATTGAATGTGCATAAGTGGAGTACGATACAGAAGGTGCTAAACGCATCGTCTGCTATCAGTCACTTCAGCTGCAAATGGGTGAACATAACTACCCGTTACATGACAAAAAAAACCATGTTACGAAATGCGTTTGGTAAAATATAGGCTCTACCTTTTAGATAGTAGACCCTTTATCGTTTCCAATGATCAGGCGTCCTTACGCATCGCTGTGAACAGTCTGCACCTCTCAAAGCGGATGGCGAGGTGGCTGTCGTTATTTGTGGGGTATAACTTCTTCGTCGAGTATTAGACAGGACGACTTACGTCGTCGCCGACGCACTCTCAAGTCGGCGTGTCATCGAGCCGTCTGCGCCACTCCACACTGATCCGACCACTGTCGCGGTACTGACCTCGCGTGGCCCGCCGTTAGCCTTATTTAAAGACGTACGCAAGGAGTAAATATCGGGAATGCTGCGACTGATGCATCGTCTTTTAAGTCCATCCGAAAATATTTTTCAAAACGTTGTCGTCTGCATATCGATCCTCTACGGATAGACACACAGATCGAAATGGCTAACTGTAATATTTGACCGTCTTCGGCGACATATTTCGTGTCGTCAAACTAGATCATGGTGATCTGCAATCGTGTTTCATGTATGAGTACCACAACGCATCTGTTGGTGGACATCGTGGTCGTAAGCGACCATGTCTCACAATAAGCCACTTTTACTGTCCCTCCAGTATCTGTTCGTGTGAAAGTACTTTCG